TGATCAAACCTTTTCTGGTCGATTCCACACCCTTTCTTTCACAATGCAATCGCATGACCAGAACTCAACTTCATCTTTAAAGGTGCTATGTAACATGTTGACATCGGTGTGAAAAGTAGTTGAATTATTCGTTAATGTCGATAAAAAAATATAAGAGAAAAAAATCCTCGTAAGTTTTAGACTCTTATTATCAATTTCAATAGATATGTCAACATTTGTCTATGAACTTGTTATTTTCGCTAAGTAATAAATAGGCAAATTATATTCTTACCACGGTGCGAATAACCCTCAATAACAAATAAAAACTTTTCGTCAGAACTGGAGGAGTACTTTCAAGCATATTCCTTACGCATGTCATGAAAACAATCTTGCTTCTCAAAACGTTTTGGACTGATTTTTCGACCTGTATTTTCAAAAGTGATCCAGTATAACTTCAAGATGCAAAATATTCAACTACGGAGGTCACTACACATTATAGCCTTTATATCAGTTGTATTCAGACTCTTCTTATTGTTGGTGACTTGTGTAAAATGAAATTGGAGAACTATTTCTGCTATTGTGTTTTGTTTAGGAAGTGCTTTTCAATGAAGCGAAATCCACAACTAGATAGTTTAAATTTATCTTCTTAAAGTCATTTTAAATGTTTACCTTCACCTACCCCAACCCCCCCCCCCAAAAAAAAATAATAAATAAATTTAAAAAAACACAACAACAACAGATGGAATCGTGCGTAATTATGTTGTGTATACAGCTAGTGTTTGAGCGGGCGCGCGCGTCGCCAATACGTACGAACAGAAAACGGTCCAGGCATTGGACTAATGAGATGCTTGACCCTCGGACAGTTTAAAAGATTTATCTACTTGCTCCTTTTATGGATTTTCCAGCCCTTGAGCAGATTACAGAGGTCATAGCCTTCTTGAAAGGAACATAAAGACACTAATTACAGATGGATAGTGTTTCGTGAGGTTTCTCTTTATCGTGTAGCTTTAAACCTTTCATTATTATTATAATGAGTAGTATTGACCTGTATCAATAAATAAATGCGAGGGTTGTCAGGTAGGATTCATCATTGTTAAATCTCTTTGCTTTAATGTTGATGTCTTAAAGACAAGCATTGACGAAAATGCTATCAAAATGATCTAATGACAAATCACGGGGGAGAGGCTCTACTTTGAAAATGGGAATGGATTAAAGACCAAACCTTTAAATTTACCCTTGTCAAAAACAAGCGTATGCATGAACCAACAGAATAATCGGTTTTTTACAAATATTTTGAAAAATGTGTCTAATGCCTATTAGGATAAGAAAAAGAAGAAAAATAGGTAACTTAAGACCCTAAACATTTAACTCTCACTTCAGAAACGAAACTCGATTATCTGGAACAGCTTCCAAGAAGAATTATTCATCATTTTGAGGACTATAACGATATACATTATGGTCTAATCGTTTTAGGATGTCAAGTGATTATGTGCCATTTGGCTCAATGAGCTTTGCGTTTTGAAATGTCAGAGTATTAATGTTTGATTGGAAAAGCAGCTGCATCCGACTTCCAACCATACTGATGTGTGTATATCATTAATCAGAATTATATCATGGCCAGCTCAAAGTAGTTTAGTGTGTACACATGGATTAATGTGTGCGCTTGAATATCCTCCTTGAAGTAGTCACCCGAAGAAAATTCACGACAACTGATAATTATGGACAATTATATATGGATGGAAAGATTTTCTCTTGAAAAACACAAATAATTTGCTGAAAAATCATACAGATATCATGGAAAGGCGTAAAGTGCAATTTTGTGGCTAGCTGTGTCTCACATGTGACGTCCGAAGCTTGACGGAGGACCGCTGAAGGCAGAACATCTGGATCTCAAAATTAACATATTTGAGAGATGATTACTGCGGGCCCTTGTTATATTTTGATCAGTAAGGCTTCCCCTTCCCAGTAATATGAATTTTGCATCAATTCGAAACAATTTTTATTCTTCGGGTGACTACTTTAAGAACAGCCAGCTCGTGCATTTGAGCGATACAAGGACCCTGTTTCATAAAAACCTGTTATCATGACAAATTGTCAATCATTATGACGAATTTGCTCTCAGCCAATCAAATGCCACGATTTCAGTAGCTTTCAACACTAATTGTAACTTGTAACTGATAACAAGTCTTATGAAGCCGGGCTCAGAACGGCAACAGACCGAACAAAAAGTTACACTGCACCGAATGGCAGAGAATCAGTAGGTTTGAAATCGGATTTGAGTCGGTTTCTCGTTGCAACTAGGTTATCACTTATGTTACGGCAAAGTCCCTTTAAAGCCCCACTGTCCTACTTGTAGCTACTTCCTCCCTCTATATAGAAAACTTCCCCAATCGGTGCATGTTGGTCCCCCATGATCCTCTTTTTCTTATGTTAGTTGAGAGCTGAGTTAATGAGATAGCCACCTGTCAGTGACCTCGCTGTGTGGTCTAATCCCCTCTGGCCCAGCAGTATTGACGGTCTTTAATTTATATTTTGAAAACGGCGTAATAACAATACATGCATTAAAGATCATTGTTGCTAAACGAAAATGATTGGTAAATATATTTGTCTGACAAAGTTTTCAGTTTGTGATATTTGTGGAGGATGAACAAAAACAAAGACTACACTTAGATGCTGCTTGTAAGTGTCGGCTTGCATGGTGATGTAGATATACAGTAGGCTTGCGGGTGCACCATGTGTGAGAGAGAGAGGATTGAGGAGTCCTGAAAAGGACTCTGACTCGGTAATCTTTCTTGGGTCAGAGTCCTTTTCAGGACTCCTCAATCCTCTCTCTCTCTCTCACATGGTGCAGCCGCAAGCCTACTAAGACTACACTTGTTCTAAAATAAATAGAAAATTTAACAGTCAAGAAATTTACTTTGGTGGGTGCGTTACCATTTTAATGGGTGATTAGACATCTCTCTCTTTTTCAAAATATGAAAACATTTATACTCATTCTCTTATTCTTTTCAATAAATATGATTTATCCTTTTATAATCTTGCACATACACATTTTCTGTATAAAAAACATATTCACGTATAAAATTATGACAAAATATAAGAAAAGGGCAACATAAAAACTAGTGTGAAATACACGACACACTTAAACGTGGGCAAGAAGTATGATAGGAAAACATAATAAATATCACTTCATCTTATCTGTTATCACAATCGTTTAAACAGTTGGAGGTTTGAATGTCAGAAAATGAAGATTAGATATATATTAATTTATTTTCTTTGCCATTTCTTTGTCTGAGATATCACAAACACAATCTTTCTCTTTTTTTCGACATCGAACGTTACTCTTAATTTATTTAAGATCAGTCGACCTATTCATTTTTCTAAAATCTCCTTCAATGAACCGAAAAACAATCCTTTCAATTCTCTCCTGAAAATCTATTTTGTACTGCTACTTTAAACATGTTAAAAGGTAAGATATATTAGACAATGAGCATATTGCAAGCTTATCATTTTATGCCCATTGACACAAAACATTTCATAGGGGTTACCATAATCAAAATTGACCAATATATTTTAATTGTGTACCTCTCCCTGGTAAGAGTAAATCCCTCCCCTAATTTTTTTAAACTTCCCTTTTCACGTTTTTGCTGGTATCTTTCGTGGTCTTGCTGATTGTTATTTTAAGTACAGGGTGGGAGTGGCCGCATGACATCGATAGCAGCCGGCAGTGGCGTAATGAGCAAAACTTTTTTGGGGGGCAATACAAAAATGTCAGCAACATATTTTGTAAATCACTGGTATCGAATTAGAAATAAACCACGTTTGGATTTTATTTTGGAGGTCACCCCCCCCCCCCCTCCCCCTCCCCCTCCCCACGTCTCCAGTCCAAAGTCCCCCATCAGTACGCCAGTGGCAGCCACCCTCTTTTGATAGTTATGTTGTTTTCTACCGTTTATTTTGGAAAACGTGCAAAAGTGATCATGTATTAAAGACGGCGATAATTTCATGTATAGCAATACTGCACTGTGTTATCTTGATTCTTTTCATTCTAAAATTAATACTCGATGATATTTGTCTAACTTATAAGTATCTAAGCAGGTGGTTTTTAATATAAAAATGAAAGCTTCAAACAAAAAGACTATCCATATTAAACGAAACTTATAATTTGCAACGTTTACGAACCAGCGCTATTATATATATATACTGTATAGTAACAAAATAGGAACACCAAAAAGAATGCTAATATATATAAACAAATCTTGAATTACAAAGATTAAATCTATGACCTCCAAATGGGGTAAAACATCGATATTTTGTACCTCTCAAGTGTAAATTATCATCTAAAATATGACAATAATTATGTAATGTGTACCACAGCTGCTTCGTCATGAGACACAAGTTTTTCAATTTCACCTCATATATTAAGAAATATATCAGGAAAATGTTGATATGATATTCTAGGATAACAAAGCGATTCAAGCATCAACGATGTCTCTGAGCACTTATCAGATTATACTGATCAATAGTTTTGAGGCAAAAATTATCTAACTGTAACACCGTTATCATATATTATCAATGTAATACTCAATGAATACATTGTGTATTGGCAAATTTTACTTTAAAAAGCAGATTTCAAGTTAGATCCTTGTTAAATCTAATTTCTTGAAAATCTGCACAAGCAATAGACAATTATTGATCATATTAATAATCACTCTCATTTTATCGAGAATTGACCAATCATATCATTACTTTTGATAAATTAAGTGATATATTACAATTAAATGGTATTGCAATAAATGTTTGCAACATTCATATCTTTGGAAAAAATAAAGTTAATTTTCTTATTTGTGTATAAGTATGAATTTATAATGACAGTTAACATTTTGTATACAACAATAATTTAGCATGAATAAGTTATAATCAATAAAATATGAATCCTTGATTAACTATATAACAATTGAATCATGTTTATCAAGGAAAATAGAGGACGGTTGCCATTATCCAAGTTAATATCCAAATTTTCAGATGAGAGACGGTGGAACGCTACACGGCAGACGCGGTGATGTCTGAGTGCGAACACAGCATGCGCATAGAACGTGTCTGAACGCTCTCTGAAATCTCAGGTTAAAGAGCGCGTACAGAACAGGATTGAGAAACGAGTGCGCGTAGCCCAAGTACACTGATATCGTCATAGCCGTGATATTAATGACGTCATACATGAAGGAATAAAGTAGCACTTGGAAGAAATATGGCGTCCAACAGACAATGAGACAAGTCAGGATTATCCCCAGTTGTTTTGCAGCTTTGTCCTGTTTGCGCAATAGCATCAACGCTTTGCTCCCTCGTCCGCTTAGAGCCGTGAAGGAAGAGGTTAGCGACTTGCGAACACGACTACGGAATCCGTTCATGGATGAGACATCCATTGGAAATGTAAGCGAAGTACTGTTATCACTTTTTGGATACGATAAGCTCCTCGACGTCGTTCGTCGACTACCGACTACGGTATTACATCGACAATGAGTGACCTCGTTGATGAGATCAAATGAAAATGATGTCCGACGTTTGGGAGGGTCTGGTAGCCTCGTATCACTGTCGATATCGGATAGGATAACATGATCACTCTCCGTCGGAGAGATCGATCGTTCGTCACTCCGGGGTGATGTCTCGATATTTTCGCTTGAAGTCGTAAATGAACTTTCTTGCATCGACGTCAATATCGACTCCGTAAATGGCTTTTGGACTATCCCGTTACAGTGCATGACGTCTCCATTTTGACGAAGGGGCACAATTTGGTCTGTATTTGGTTGCAAGTTGGAGGTTTCGGTCACTGCTCTCTCCGGCGTCGTGGGGATCGAAGGGGGTTGATTTTTGGCCGGTGACCTATTCAGTCGATTCATACTCTCGCACGTGCTGTCCACACTCGCTCCGAGTCGCCTATTCGGACTCGAGCCTCGGCTCGAACCGCGGCTATTCGGACAATTCGGGCACATGACCATTCCATTTGAAAACAAATCACATTCTAATCGATCCGGATTAAGCGAATGAGGAGAAAGATGAGGCTTGGGGTTGCTAATTGCAGAGTCAATAGACATTCGATCAATTTTTCTCCTTGCTCGAATGATTGGCGAAATATTTAGTTCTGTGTCTTCTCTATTTGTTCCTAGAATTGGTATTCGATGTTCGTTTTCTGTATTATCCACCCTCGTCATCAGAGCTTTTTTTTCCCCTTCACGTATCTCATAAGGCCCTATGCTTCCATCGTCATCATGTTCGGCATCGTTTGACTCGGCGTCTGCTAGCTTTCCATCACTCGATGGCGCAGAGTTATAATTGACCCCTTCATAAATACTACCACCTTCGCCAGATCCATGGTCCTCATGACGGTCTTCGGCTTCGTTTTCTTCGTTCTCATCGCCACGGACTTCGTGATCCTCCTCGTCAATGCTCGCGTATCGTCTTATTTCACGAGCTCCTGTTCCATAACCTCGGCTGCGTCTCCTTATTATCGCCATCAGCTGTCGCTCTCCTCGCTCCCTTCGGACGGTCTTCTCATAGATACCCTTCAATCTCTGAAGCTCATGCTCCGTAATAAAATTATGTTGAGATTCGCTGTCCCGTCGCGAGCTTCCAGGCCGTGTTGACATGGCACTGCTTGCGATACTCGAACGGCCCACGTCCATCTTAGATCGACGATGAATGGCGCGGTAGATTTGAGAATAAATTGCACAAAGTACGAAGAGTGGAATGATGTAAATAAAGACGGCACCGGCGGCCATCAACCACGAGCCGACAGAAAAACTGACGAACACAGTGCGAGACGGCACAGGAACATTAGTGAAGGCAAATTTCCACGTGGTAGCAGGACCACATATAAATACAACAGGCACGCCCCACACACACGAAATCAGGAGCAAGGCTCGTCGCCGAGTTCGTTGTCGAATATATTTTATAGGTGACGTGATCGACCAGAAGCGATCGAGATTGAGTAACACTAAGTTCATAATACTTGCCGTGGTGAAAAAGTAGTCCATTGTTATCCAGATACTCCTTGCTGCGTTTGGATGGGCCTGCCATCCTCGCACCGATAAAATATCAAAAACATTAAAAGGTATTACAAATATACCAACACAGAGATCTGCGATAGCAAGACTGGCAGTAAATAAATTCCCCACGGTGTGTAAACTGCGATCAAGTCTCATCACGTGTATTACAACTGCATTTGATAGAGTTACAAGAAAAGCGAGAAAAATGACCAGGACCGCTTTGAGCGCAACGATGGCTGTTTCGGTTTGGTGGTCAATGTTCGTATCGTCGCTGAGGACGGCGGCGACATCGTGGGTGAGATCGTGTTGCATCTCGAGGTTGGTTTGCGTGACAGTTGGCGTTACGTTCCATTCTGCGGCCAGTCGTTCGGCCAGCTGAGTGGTGACCATCGCTATCTTGGAGGCAGCGACGTGAGACACAGACTCCCACCTGTCAGTCTCTTCACGATCCATGATCATGACATTCATTGGTAACCAACTCCGGTTGATTAAGCACCCATCAACATCGCACTCCTATAACACCACATCAGCAGTAGATAAGCCTCGGCTACTACTAATAATAGCAGTTAAGGCAAGAAACACCGCCTCGATGTCTACTGTATTATTAGTGGAGAAAGAGAGCATCTCGTTTTCTCCGTCTCTCTCGCTCGCGATCCAACTTCCAACTGCTCGCTGCTCACAATAATTTCAAGCCAGAAGCTAACGCCGCATCGTTGCCATGCCTGAGCTACTTTGCATTCATTGTCTCCGCCTCGGGGGAATTTGAGCGCCTTTTATATTGTCTCTCTATCTCACTCCCTCCTCTCTCTCTCTCTCTCTCTCTCTCTCTGTGTCTCTTTCGCCTCTCTCATTTCAATATGCTCGTATACGAGGGCAGGCACTGTCAAACTATATTCGTAGTCTTAGAGTCCAAACCCAATTACTGTTCTAAAAATAGATTTCGCTGTCTCCTTCATGACACATAGGCCAATTAATATGTCAAGTATTTTTGCAAGTGCTATGTGTGAACAGTTCCAAAATAAACCAATTTTAAACGAATGTGGAATCATTCTACAGTCACTTTCGTCTACGATGAGGTGAGAGTAATTTTCGTGAGGACTAGAAACCCAGACTAGCCTAAAACCATCCACTCACTTTCGTATTCTCGCTTTGCTTCTACAAATTGGACCATTTTGAGCAGGCGCAGTGCGAAGCTGCGCATCTTTACGTGATAAAACATCTTCCTCCTCAGTTCACTTTCACTTTTTCTACTCATAGCGATTGTGAAAAGACGTAATACCACAACGTTATTTTGTATACCTTTTCTCTCTGCGTATTTATTTATCTACGTACATTTTTTTTTATCTACGTACATTTTTTTTTATCTACGTAATTTTTTTTTTATCTACGTACATTTTTTTATCAAGATCTTTTCTCCGCCTACCTGTCCACTTCAATTAATTGTTTCTCTATTTTTCTTTCTATCTTCACAATGCATTTAGATCTTCATGTATTTTTATATTATTTTGTTATTGAACTAGCCCATCAAAACCCTATTTGAATTGAAAAACAGATGTCTATATCGTCCTACAACAACAATGGTATTGGTGAACAAAATAATGCAATTCATCTGATAATGATTCTTACTCTCCAACCATTTCGCCCTCATCTCCATCCACCCATATCCCTCTCTCTCTCTCTCTCTCTCTCTCTCAGTTTCCCATCTTTTCTCTTCTTTTGGAGCCTCGGGGAGAAGTTGTGATGATTGTCAGCTGTATGAACCTCGTCTCACGATGCTATCAATAATTATTTGAGAAGCAGTTTTCTCCTAAAATGAATGAACATGCACATTCTACTTTCTACATGCATTTACAAACTAACTCTATATTATATAGAACAAGGCCACCGGATTAACACTGGATAATATACAGGATATATCGCTGTACATGTATTTTGTTGTCCTTACTTCATACCAACTTTATTAGGTGTTTGTCCATCATTCATCATTAAGTCATAGCATCCATCATTTTAATTTTATAACATCCGAAACATTTTAATAATTTCTATCACTTGGTTCGATCACATGTTTGATCGAAAGAATGCAAAGACAATTTGGTTTTGAAAAAAAAGATAAATTAAAAAAAATATTAAAGTGTGATGACGATGATGGTGAGGATGATTGTGATAGTGTTGATGGTGATGATGAGAGTGATGATGGTGTTCATAATGATGACGATGATGATCATGATAATAGTAGTAGTGATGATGGTGATGGTGAGGATGATTATGATGATCAAGTTATTGATAATGACTCTTATAGATGAGTTAGCGAACCATAAGTATGAAATAATCTAAGTCAACAAATTATCCCATGTCCTTTTTTTGTGCAGGAGACTAGTGTACTTCCATTTTAACACGTGGTACTATCGGTAATTAAAAAATATTATGAAAGATATAAAATCCCCCTTCAACGAAGCCAGGGCATGGTTTAATGTCTCTGAAACTGGATGTAACATTTGGACGAGGGTGTCATAGAATACCCCCCGCCCCTCCGCCCTCCGCCCTCCGCCGCCTACATGGACTTCATCAAGTGTTAACAGTCACGTTAGCCCGTTTTTCTTTCCTTCATAATATTTTCTTCTTTACATAAAATCATATATGTATGTTGTGTTAGGGGAATAGATTTAGTTTGCCACCTTTGCCCTACTCAGATCATCTCGTTTTAATGACTGTTTGTCTCTCTATAGAAACAGACTTCGATTTGATATTATCCAAAGCCCTTGTTAAAACAGACTTATCTTGTGAAAAAAGAGATTCAACGATTCGGAAGAGGAAATGATTTAATAGCTTAATCGATAGGACCCATTCTGTCTTGAGAATAGTCTTTTGTTGTCAAAGATTATGGCTTTGAGTTGGGAAAATCGCATATCGCTCCAGCGAACATTTTCTGTCGACCCGGTAACTTTCAAATGGATACGGATCAATATATTTGAAGAGGTTGATCGCCCAAACAGAAGATGAAAAACATGTTTCCAGAAAGTACATACATCATCTGCTTCTTGGTCGTGAAATGCTTACGAGTGGAACATATGCGACTTCTCTTACACCACTCCAAGGTCATTTCAAATTCTCAATTTTTGTTTTCCTTCTCTTTTTTCATTTTTATCCTTAAGTCATATAAGTTGTGAATTTCTTGAAATGTAAATGAGAGTACTACTAATAATAAAGAAATACATCCTAGATATTTGTACACTTTGTCCAGATTTTGAATGGAATCTGAGCGAATACAAACTTGTTTGAACGTTTTTTATGAATTTTTGCTTATATTACAGAATAAAAAAAAACTGTTTAAAAACTACAACGAAATCTTACACTGAATTTTTTTAGGTAATAGTACGCAGCACTTTGTGCCAAACTAATCGCCATGATTGCGAGAGAAAATAACGATGATAATTGCCACATAACGGTAACGATGAAACGTTTGAGTTACTCTGGCCTGCTTTAATGAGTTCCAGACTTTGAATAATTTGGAAACCTGTGCCCAAGCTTTTCAGTGACTGTGGATTTCAACGATTAAGTTACTTTCTACATGCAACTACAGGCTTTGTGTTCTGAAAGAAACAACCTATATGTATACCATACCGTACATGACATATGAAACACACACCTCTAACAATCCGTAAAGAGTCCAAGCTGTATTTCATCGGGAAACATTGTTTAATAAATATCCCTTGTCACGAACTGCAATGGCAGATATTCCCTTGCATGAGAACTAAAAGAACTGGGTGTAGAGAAGGGAAGGGTAAGAAGATAATTGGTTTGTTCGACCATACCATTGTAATCCATTAAATCGATATTTGAGTACACAATGTTGGAACGGCAATTTGTTATTGGATAATTACACGTGGACTGCCGTGGGGAGATGGATTCAACATGAGAGCATTATGGACTTGAAATGAATGTGACTTGTTTTGTTTCATCTAAAAATACTATCACTTGGGTTCAGCTCAGAATGTTTTGAAATCGAATTCTCACTAGCTCGTTATTGAAAAATCACTTGTCAAAGTCATTACAGTCGACAAAGGCAAACGTTTAGTGAATACTGAATGTTAACGAGTATAAAATACCCAGGGTCGCCTTTGAAGTCTGATTCTCCTCATATGAAGCGTACTTTTTACTCTTTTCACGGTTTTGTTTTCTTCAGGAAAGTGAAAGTTGTTTACTCCTGGTATAAAACTCGGTCAGGGGGCTAGGTAAGTGATCCATTATAAACCAGGGAACCCAAAGTGTACGTGCTTTGGAGAATTGAACGCCATTGATGAAAAAAGGAGCAGACGAAAGGGAAGCAATTTTAATATCGATTGGGGTCACGTAGAAAAGACATTGGCTCTGAACTGAACTGATTCATAATTTTGCATTTTATGATTCTACTCATAACTTATTCAGAACGGATATTTTATGGCATAAGCTATATGCACACACACACGTGGGATAGGAAGGGTGGTAGAGGTGAATGGAATGTCGTAGTCGAGTGGTGGAAATGCAGGTCTTGAGTTTTGACCCTATAATATGACGGGCGATATTTGATTTTACGTCCCCACGCATTTTTTTAGAGAAATTTAGCGATTTTTGACGGAGTCGATTTCGGATTGGAATTTGGAGTATACAGATGGCGTTTTAAGGGCATTTTGAAGGTTGAAGAAAGAAAGAAATTTTGGACTATTTAGAGCAATTTCTTAGAAATTGGAGATGGGTAGGCGAAGAGGAAGGCCTCAGAAGGGGCCTGAAACGGATAAAATGGCGCCTGAACAGTCATGCATGAGTAATTTTCGGAAAGCAAGGCGTTTTAATAGTGACCTTGATTGGATTCTAAAAAATATGCATATAAATGTGAACAGTATCGTAAAAGAGGAAGAACAAGTAATGCGTTCTAAAAGAAAGGGATTTTGGTGGAAGAAGAAGGAGAAGTAAAAACAGATTTAAAACGGGGGAAAAACATGGCAAAGACGGGGGACGTCAATACAATAATAGGGTCTTTTAGATTTGCACAACGACAACGTGGATTGCTACGATCGACGTCCTTTTAATGCACTGCCTTGAATGGACGTCACACGTATCAGTCGACGCAAATCTAAAAGTCCCTAATAGCTACCTTTATACTGCTCTCCTGTCCACCCCAGGGGATGCTCCAGGCATCTACAACGTATTACCCTAGCTTTAGCCCAGCTGCCCGAAGGCGCCTTAAGCATTCAAGGAATAAATTCCTACCAGGTATTCATTTACTACACCTGGGTTACTAAGAGTGCTCACCAAAAAAAAAATTCTCACTCTTCCCAGAACTCCAACTCTTCTTCAGGTGAAGTAACATAAGGAAGGTATATCTATAGATCACGTTCACTAGCGCGTGGTCGGAACTTAGCAGTCTAGACACCAAGGTTGAACTTAAGTTTGGGTTATCATTGCCGATGAGACCTTAACAAAGGGAAGAATAGCTGCTAATCCCTTGATCGATTACTTTAATTCCTTTTCAAAGATACCATCCTTGCCTTTGACGGCGCGTGTCATTTTAATGAGAGTTCTAAAGCCGATAAAACAACAACCTTGACGTAACACAGCACGGTGACATGATGCGAAACCACGGAGAAAAAAGGGGAAACGTATCAATTTGGTGATTTGCAATGATTAGACTTTTCAGCTAGGTTTGTTCAATAATAAAAGTATTACATGCGAGAAATTAAAACTGGGCTCTTTAATCACGAAAGTGCTTTCTTAAAGCATCACTGAG